GGAAGACCGCCCTGAGCCCCAAACCACGTTCCTTCCTCCCCCCCGTCATTCTGCAGACAAGGGCCATCCACAGACCACACGTGTGGTGGCTTTGGCAACCAGAAATTAAAAATAAGCTGTTTTTCCAGTAGCCAAAATGATCCCTCACCAAAGCTCATCGACTGAGAACCTGAGCGTGCAAAGCCGCAGTCTGGGTGAAGGGATGTCTGCTTTTCAAATGACCTGCTAATTCTTTGCAACCCACAGTAACTTGGTTTCTGTGAACCCACAGAAGCAGGCCCACCAAAAGGGCCTTGTCTGCTAATCTGGAAAAGTCCTCGTATAAATGAGTCACTGGCAGTGGGATCAGTCATTTTGAAGGCTGCCCCATTTTCCAAACCTGTAAAAATGTCTGTTCTTAGTCTCTCTGGGAGAGGAAACAGCGGGGCTGCTTTTACATTTGGAATATGAAGTGGGCCTCACAGATAGGTGGCATGGGCCCGGGAGAAGGCCCTCTGGCTTTCTGGAGCGGGTCAGTGGAAGGGAGTGGGCAAGGAATGAATGGGTGAGGGCTTCTAAGATGGCGCAGGTGCAAAGCTGTGCTGCACCGCCGTGAGGTATCTGTAGCAGGTGCATAACTCACATGGGTTCTAGGGTCCAGCATATTCTTTACTCCTATTAGAACATGAAGGAAACTGCTAGAGATCACTTGCTTCCACTGGCCACTGAATCTCTAGTACAGTCTGAGTATTTTTCATGTTTTAAAACCCACATACAGTACATAGAGTGGAAAATTTGCAACTGTTCAACATAATTTTACTCTCCCCCACCCCCACCCACACCCTGGTAGAGAAAAAAGGCAACATTACCCCATAGACAAAATTACATAAAACCTCACTACATACTTGGGAGGTAGATATTGTTATGTCCTTACTTCTTTTTTTTTTTTTTTAAATCAAAACATTAACATTCCAGTTTCAAATAACAACTCTGTATCAATCTGTAAGACAGTCCACTATTGGGATGTAATACAGCATTCAGAGGAATTTGCTTCCCACTTGTTCAAAGTGCAAACACCTGTGTGGGGGAACAATGTAACAGCTCAGTAAAGAGAGGTACAGTCTTAAGAGATAAGCTCACACAAGTTTAAAGCCTACATTTCTTTCTCTTCCGAGTGAGTCCACGGTCCTTAGAGGCATAGGTCCCCGACCCGGGCTTCACGGTGAGCCTCAGGACTGGTGAGTTATGCAGCCTTAAGAGAGGAGAGCTCCTACAGTGGCCCGGGTTTAGCTGTTGGCTTCAGGCCAATGTTGTTCTTTTTACAGGCACTTAAATCCCAAATCATTCTGCTTTTTTGCCTATAGAGAGTGTCTGCACTGTTTTCTGTCTGAGCACTACCTTCCTTTTTTTGTTTTTTACTGTCTATCTCTTATCTCCTGCTGTACAATCTGGTGTTATTTTCCAGGACAGAATTTTCATCATTCATTTTCTCTCCTTGAGCTCACCAGTTCTCCTTTCAAGTCTTTGTGGGAGAACTTGAAATCTCTGCGGTCTCAAATCTTGAGTGTCCTAGACTTTCCAAATCTCCAGTAGGGACCAACATACCTATTCTCAGTGGGGTACATGTTACTGTTAGGACTTTACACATTGAACGTTCCCTTTTGATCATACTGCGTTGGGATAGGTACCGAAGGTACTGCTTTTTTCCTTACAGAAGTCTAAACTTCAGTTAGCAGCGGTGGGGGGAAGCAGAGGAAGAAAGTGAGCATAGTGATACAGAGGCTACTTGGAAAAATTTCACATCGATGTGAGATTAACACAGTGTTTCAACCAAGTAAAATTTTGTTTTTTAAACATTTCTTTTGCAATAGAAATCTGAGTTCATTTTCTATCTGGGACACTGTGAGTATGGGCCTAGCAAAATGTTAAGTGCTGTGTTTAAAAGGTGAGAAATTTTGTCACTGGGAAAGTCAGCAGCTGAGTCAGAACAGCTCAGAGTGGGGAACAAAGCATAAAATTAGCCAGCTTATCCTTGTTGAGGCAAATATCTTTTTGGGAGAACAACTTAAAGACTGGTGGATTTATTAATATCTTCTTTCCACTGGTGGTGGAGGGGGAGGCACTGGGGGGAGAGGGGATGCGTCTATTTTCTGCCAATATGAAATACCATTACATAGCGACAGGGGACATTTGGAAAGCCAGTTAGTTCCCTTCCATTTCCATCCTTAGCCCAGTTCTGTCACCTTGGCTGCCAGGGAACTTGTACTGGGTTTGGTTGGCCATGGTTTGAGGCCTCCTGGGTTGGGGTGGGAGGCCTGCCTAATAAGTGGGACTCTGGGTGGGAAAGTAAATGTGCTGGCTGAGGCTACTACAAGACTTCCCTATCCAGCAGGGTCAGATGGGAATCCTGACCTGCCCTTCTCTCTAGGCCTCCTGCTAAGATTCTCCCTCACTGTTGTTCAGTCTAAGGACTGCCTACAGGAGGAGGTATTTACCTCGGTGGGGTAGCCACTGCCTACCTCCTGGTGCAACTTAAAGGTTTAAGAATGGAGTTTCTACTACAAATTTTCTTTGGGCCTGATGTGCCCCCATCTCGGCTCAGAATGCTAAAGAGAAGTGCAGCCTTGGTGAAAGGTCACCCCTCTCAGAAGACTGACTTGAGAAGAACAAAAAGCATTCGGCAAATCCACTGGGCGCGGGCAAGTTGAGGGGCACAGCAACAAAGCATCCCCAGGGTGGCGGGATGAGCCTCAGTTTCAGTCTTCAAGGGCAAAAGTTGGTCTCTTCAGCAGAGATTTTCCCTCTGATGGGGTGGAAGTGCTGCGTCCCTAGCTTTCTTTCCTGCTAACCCTTGCTTCCAAATCCTCTTCCTTTTGTTCCCCTGAAGAGTCAACAGGATGTGTGAATTTCAAGAATATAATAAGCTCCTTTTCCACAGTGGATGGGAGCAACCTGGCCTAGCTGGAGTCTCGAGTTACAGAAATGCAGCAAGGAGCTGAAGACCGCACACCAACAGACATCCAGCCAGTTAGCTGAAATCTCAAATCGTGTTGGGATCGTTGCCTTGGAATTTCACATCTTTTTTCCTGAGACAGGCGCCATGCTGTAAAGAAGGAGAAGCCATTTATGGGGGTCTGAGGTGGAACATTTTAATGACGGGCAGCATGTGAAGGAGCCACGTTTGAGTCGAATGCATATGTTCTTTCAAAGTAGCAAGACAGAGAAAACACCAACCAGCAGGAATTTGGGGTTGTTGGCTCTGGTAGAAGTGTTCACAAACTCATTCTAAGTTTGCTAACAGGCTTCATGAAATGGTCCCTGGAAGCAGAATTTATTTTCCCTGACACAAGTGCTTAAAAGGGGGGAAAGGTTTTGGCGAACAGCTGCAGGTGCCAGTTTGTGTGTACACTTTGGGGCAAGATCAAAACACCTTCCTGTTTTTTGTTCCTCTCCACCATCCTCTTCACATTTACAGCTCAGTGGTTAAAGGAAAAACTTAACACTACCCTTTACCACAGAAAGGTGAAAGATATTCATGTACATGCTCTTCTGCTTATACCTGTGCAATAAGGTTTAAAATATAACTGTGGTTGCTGCAGAATCACAGACATTTAAAGCTGGAAGGGACCTCAGAGAACATCTAAATCCTACTCTTATTCTATGGTTGAGGAAACTTAGTTTTAAGAGCGAAGTGGCTGTCCAAAGTCATACAGCCAATCAGTGGCAGATATGGAATTAGCAGGAAGATTCTGTGACCCCCATTCCAGTGCTAATTTTACAAATCTTACTAGTACTGCACAGTCCCCACAATTAATGGTAAAAATGGCTGATGGATACACAGAACCAAGAGCAGAATTTTGGGAATTTTGGGGGAACACAGCAGCTTCATTTAAAATGGGGAGGAGATCCCAATTTACCTGGTCAAGGAGAACCTGTCGGTAGAGGGGCTCCACTCTTCACCCCATCATGAAGCTCAGCTCTCATCTAAATACCACCCAGGGTGTCTACCTGATTCCTCTCCAATAAGAAGGGGAGACTAAGTCATACTTTTTTGGATTTTTTTTTTTTTTTGGTATTTTGTCAAAAAAAAAAAAAATCACTGGCAAGTTTGCCTTGGGTCTGCACAGCAAGACTCCATGAAGAAGACTGAGGATTTCCAGGTAGCTTGGTTTTCTCCCCTGCTGGTGCTGCAAAGCGCTCCCCCCCGGCACCCCCACCCCAGTCCTGCTCTCCCGCCTCTATCACAGGGAAGGATGTCATGTCCACAGCGGACCACTTCGCGAGTGTCCATGAAGGGCTTGCCTTAAAACCATCAGTCCTTCTGCACAGAACTTCTATAGTCGACTGGCTTAATCCAAAGCAGTTTTTAACTGGAGAAGGGAGGCGAGCGGGTAGGAGCACAAGTGGCAGCGGCTTTGGCTTTTTTCTTGTTCTTTTTTCTTTTTTTCTTTTGGCTTATATGATAAACATGATGCCCAGAGAATGGGGTCTTCAGTTATCGCTAACATACTCATTTCATGGCTGTTTTTTGCCTCACTATGAGGCTGCCATGTGGGAAGGGCAGAGTCTATCTGAACCCTTCAGTCTTGTGTCAGGCACACAAGGGAGAGGCTTCCCAGCAAGGCCGGCTGGTCGGCTCTGCACTGTGAACCTGGACATGCCACCAAAAGGCTTTTAGAAACGTGGCGGGGGCGTCTGAGAAAGGACACCTCGGGGGGCTCGGCCTGGCTCTTCCACCCGCCACAGCTCGAAGGCAGGCCCGTCCTGCTGCTGTAGGGCAGTGGCCAAACACGAGACTGGCTCTTAAACGTCATAAAATTCAAGTCCCTGGTGGCAAAACAAAGTTTCACAACAGTAAGAGCTCGATATATCAGCAAACAACTTCTGGGCAAGGCGGTGTGTCCGGCTGCTGGGGGGACAGGCCCAGCGGCGCCGGAGATGGTGTGGAAGGGAGTTAGGAGCTGAGTCTGTCTGGGGCGGGCTTTGCTAGGTGGGGACATCAGTGGCTAAAAAAACAATGTCGCTGGCGCGGGGCCAGTCTCCTTCACTTCAGCATGGCCCGGTGCTCGCCCCTGGCTATGTGGGACGAGAACTCATACCGGTCGTGGCTCCGGTAGCCGCACATGTTACACTCGAATGGGTCGCGGAAGCCGTGGCAGCCCATGTGGATGGTGAACATCACGTAATCCAGGAAGAGGACCCGACAGTGGTCGCAGCGGTACACATCCATCACCTCCCCCTCTTTGCTGATCACTTTGATGGAGTCTCTCGGGCAGATGGGCGGGGGCTTGAGGAGTTCGTAGGCGCGGGGGGCCTCCTTCAGGAGGGGCATCCCATTGCGGGCCCGCGGCGGGATCATGTGGTTCTGCTGGTAGAGGTGGCTCTGCCGGTCTTCGTGGTTGCTATCCGTGTCTGTGGAGTCGTGGCCGCTGTTGTTGGGGGACAGGCCTCTCTCAGAGGGCAGGCTCTTCTCTGGCAGGTGGAGGTTCTTCTTTTCTAGGTCCTGGGGGGCCCCGTTTGGCATCTCGGCGCGGGTGAGGGCGATGGGGTACAGGCTGCTGATCACCGGGACCATCTCGGAGGTGGGGGCGGGCGGCGTCTGCACCAGGGGGCGCAGGGCCTCGGCCCCGAGATAGCTGATGGCGTTGTTGATGGCTTGGTCCATCATTCGGGTCTGTATGATCTCGTTCTCTTTCTCGTACACGTAGCTGGAATTATAGTCAAAGCAGTGGCGCTTCTCTCCTAGAACAAGTGAAAGACAGGGTCACAAAAGGAACGACGGGAAGGCGGAGGCTCTGTGGGCATATTTCGAGGGTGCCTGGAAAGTGAGGAAGGACATGTTGCTCCCTCAAGGACACCCGGCCGGGGCAGCCCAGTTCACGCAGGGCAGCAGGACAGCGGGTTTGGACCTGCTGATAAGGGAAGCCTGCAGGCAAGAGTCAGACGTGACTAAGTCGAGGCTCTAATGTGAGTTGTTTCCATGGCTCCTCTGGGAGCTCTGGAGAAAAAGGAGGGGAACACTAGGATGGGCCGAGGGGTGCTGGGTGGGGCGGCTCCTGTGTACCAGCCTTGCATGTCTACGGGTCCTGAGCAATTCAGACACGAGCAATTCCCAAACTCCTATTTTACTTGTTATTTTCTGCTTGTAAGGAGGACCTAAGTGCTGCAAAAAACTGGGGATGCTCTGCAACAGGTCTTGAAGCTTCTTAAGTAGTTACAGAGGTAGAAAAAATAGCCCCGCGAATTCCAACTTACCACTCCCAAACACAAAGAGAGTCAAACACAGAAAGTTTTAGAGAAGCTTTCATGAGGAAAGCGCGTGACCTCTGTGCCTTTCATAGAGTGTGTTGTTCTTTTGCTTGGGAAAAAAAAAATGTGTCATTGATACAAATGTGATCATGAGGACCTGTCTCAGACTTAACTGAAAATTTTATTTACTGTCACCCTCTCCTGCTTCTCATGTCAAATGGCTGAGAAATATTGAGGAAAAGAGAGTTAGCCACCTTTGGCGTGTGTGGGTGTGTGTTAGAAAACAGAGGCTCTCTGGTCAATAGGAAGGCAGGAGAGGGTCTGGGAGGAGTGCAGGCATGCCCGGGACTAAGCGGTTACCTCACGCACTCAGAGAGGTAAGAAGTGTGTCCTAATTGAGGGAGGCGCATGCATGAAGGCAGAGGGCTGGGACCACACAGGCCCGAGCAGGGAGGAGAGCACCCTATGGGGAAGTGTGAAATAAAGTTGCTCCAATTTCACTTACTCCCTCAAAGTCTGCACATCCACACTCCAGGTGGCTGAGAGCATGGACTCTAGAGTAGATGGACTGGGTCTGGCTCTGGTTCCCCACTCACTAGTTGCATGGCCTTGGCCAAGTTACTCAACCTGTCTAGTCAGCCCTGTCTCTTGCTTGGTGTCCTCAAGTGAAATGGGAATAATAACTGGACCACTGGTAAGCACTTAGAATGGTGCCTAGCACATAGAAAGCATTTGGCAAATGCTATGGCTTTTGTTTTGTCTGAACTGGCTTGCATCTAGTTTCTTTCCTGGGCTAAATTTGGTTTTTAAGGAAACTTTATATCATTAGCATAAATGGAAAACCAGAATCACCGGCCACAAATAGAAGGTAACCATGAAAAATAAAGACAACAAAACAAAACAATTTATTAAATTGTGATCAGATGTTAGTGTGCGCACTTGGAGACAGAAACCCCCTCTTTCTTAAAAACAGAAATTAGTAAGTGTGAGATTAGTGATCTAGACAACTAACATAGAATTAAGTCTCAGTGTTTCTCCTTGGTATAATCAGGGAGACTGAAAGAGAATTAAAAGGAAAATAATTTTCCTGCTTGGTGGATCGAGGTTTTTAAATGCTCTGTGGGCCTCCTGGCACCATGCAGCCCCCACGCTCTGGAGACCAACCCTAGGTTGTGGGTAGGAACACACGACAAACTACTATCTGCCCTTGAGCCAGGGAGGCTTGTGGCCAAAAGGTTATTTTCAGGATATTAATGTATCAGCAATGTGTAAGGTGGACAGAAGAGGGAGAACTGAGTCTGACAGATCTGTTCTCATCAGATGGCTTTGCCCTTCATCCCTACCCTATAATGCCAACCCGATCATTTCTAGGCAAACACCTGAAAGAAAAACTATGCAAAGAAAAACACCGTCTCCTGATAATTCAGTAAAAAGCAACAGAAAAGTAGACCTTTGCCCAAGTAATTCAGACTTCTTGTTTTCAACTTCCAGAATGGATGTGTCTTTGATCAAGGTTGTGTGGAAGAATGAGAATATGAAAGCCACAAATATTCACTCGCTGAAAGCGATACAGAAATGTCGAACTTTGGTTTCTTGGCCTTTTTCAAGGTTATTGATGAATTTCTGGTGTGACCAGCTCTACCCAACGCCCCATATACCAGCGGTCCCTGAGAATCTTTTTCTTGTCACCTAATAGAGTCTCTGGAAAGCTTCCAGGGCAGGCAGGCACATCACAAACTCTGCTTTTATCCTTTCTCCCAAGAGTCTGGGAGACTTACTTAACTGGCAGGCCTACAACTCCATAGTCTACACTATCTGCAAGCCAGCATTGGAGAACAGCCCAGGGCTGAAGTTGTAAGAGGCAAAATGTGAAGAGGAAAATAACCTCCTGGATGAGTGGAAATGTGTGAGCAAGTGCTGTGGTTAACACAGACCACTGCTCATTGTCAAGAAGATGGGAGGGGAGCCTCGATCTTCACGTGCACACAACCGTGATCATCAGATCCCCTCATCTCTGAGTTACGGTAACTTGAGTAGAGCAGATGATTATCAGTCACCTGTAGACACGATGACTCAATGTGTATGAAACTCAGAAGAGGCAAGCTACAGTAATTGAAAAGCCATCAACTCACGTTTCTTTAGTAACACACTCATAAAAAAGGTTAGTCAAACCACAAGAGTGTAACTGCTTCCAAGCCTGCACGGAGCCTCTAGTCCAGCTTCTAGTCAAAATCACACCACACCTTTGAATGATTAATGGTAACAGCTTCAAGCTGAGTTAGAGGTTTTCTTCCAATGAAAATACAAAAGGCAACAGCAAGGTCTAAGAAAGCAATATCGCCTGGCTGACCCATTCCCTACCTGCTATTCTTTTGAAAGGTGCCAGTCCCTAATACCCAGGCTTCAGTACCGAACTGAGCCATTACCCAGCCTGAACGGCTGCAACGCGGTGAGGGCACAGGGCTGTCGGCGTCTAACTGGGAAGCAGAGAATCACAGCTTGGAGCTAAGAAGGACTGTAAGTGAGCCTGTGGATTCAGACCTCGGCCTTTGGGGTTGAGGAACAAGATCCACCCCTTCTAATCTGTTTACTTCTGATGGTTGTACTCAGTACCTAGCACCAATCCTTCTTTAGGAAACTATTTATTAACCCCCTACTGTACGCCCAGTGCTGTCCTGGGTACTTTACGTATTGTCTTTTTCAACCTAAGAGCAATGACCATCTCCTAGTCACATCAGGAACCAGGGTGGGGGCCTGATGGTGCAGGGATTAAAGTCTCAGCACTATCAAGCTATCGCCAGCCACTGTGCCATGCATTCAATCCCTGCCCAGGGAGCTGCCCACATGGTGCAGCAGACCTCTCCTGTCTTGCCCACTGCTCCCCTCAGCAGCGTATTTCAGTAGATCTGCCTGTTCTGTTCCCCACTCTGTCTCCAGTGAATCCTCTCAATCCTCCACACCTCTGGCCTGTACCCCAGTTCTTGTATGCATAAATAAATAAAAATAAATAAATCTTTAAAAAAAATATGAGCAAGCTGATTGACTTTCCAGGGTCACCCAGCTGGTAAATGCAGAACCAGATTGCCACCCCAGGGCGAGAGAGCGCTGTGTGTGCCTTCGTGTTAATGGCTGCTTCCTGGCCCACAGTTGCCCAGGGCTGCACAATCCCACCCAGGACTTCAGCTTCTCTCCTGGGATGGTTCCCACAAGCCGTGGAGAAACAACTGTGCTTTGCTCTAGCACCTGCATTCAAGAAACAGCTAGGATGCCGAGAGTTGTGTGGTCTCTGTAAAGTCCCAGCAGAGTGCCCAGCAGAATGGCATATAGAAACACTCAATAAGAGGTAGAGCTATTGTTCTAGACCTCACAGCGCTTTGAGGAATACAAGCATAACTGCAGTGCGATAGATCGCGGCATTTACACATCCTTTACAGCACCCTCACCGCCACGTGGTAGAACAGTGTAGAGGGTAGGCAAGAGAGTGGAGAAAAATATGGACCACTTCTCAAACATGCCATGCAGGATGTGGGGCAAATATTAATCTATTCTTGCAAGTCTCCTTGTCATGAGGTGTGGCAGTGGTGGCGGCGGAGACAAAAAGCAGGTGGTTACACTTGCCTGAGAGCAGAGGGAGGCCGGTGCAGGGAGCGCACTGAGGGCTGTGGGGACACAGACCACATGTACTTCTAAGGGCAGATGTGAGGAGGGCGTTCCAGACAGGCATCACGGAAAGAACAATTACACAGAGGCGGGAAAGTATTACATAGAAGGGAGAGTATTCTTTGTGGCTGAATTAAAGGATTAGTTGGTTGAACTGGTAAACTTGGAGAAGGTAAGTTGGAGACAGATGGCGAAAGGCTCAGGAGGCCTGGTGGTTTGGCTTTTATTCCAATGGGGAGTCACTGAAAGTTTTTATTGAAGAGGGGGAGAAAGAGCATTTGAACTGTAGGAAAACAACACAAGCCCAATGTTGCAGCCATCGCGATGGGGTAATGGGACATATTCTGGATTTCAAGTCTTTGGGTTTCTTCAAGGGACTGATAGGCTGCTGCCTTCATGCAAGTGCATTATTGCTTACTTTACCGCAAGCACATATCCAAAAAAGGCAGGTGAACAGGGTGAATGGAATATTTGATGACGGTTTTGGCTCTGATCTCAATCTCATTGAGACTGAAGTGACTAACACTTCTTCCAGGGGGAGGCAAGCAGAGGGGAGCCGCAGAAAGGGGAGCAGGAGGGAGGAGCGAGAGCAGAGAGAGCTGTGGGGGTGGCAGTGAGGAAAACTGAATTGGAGGCCACGTTTCGGTGCCGTGGAAACCTGTGCCCCCTGGTGAGACGTGGCGGCCCTCTGGACGGCATCTGTCCTGGTGCAGTCACCAGGGGAAGACTGTTCTTTTCTTGAGGGAGAAGGAGGCTCATCCTCAGGGCTTTTCTCCCATCAGCTGTCAGTGACCAGGTTCCTCCCCACCTGAGCCCCCACGCAGCAAGGGGCGGGTGCTGCTCTGAGTGACCTCCCGGGTCACTTTATAGACTCCGGTTCTGGCCCTGTCACCTTCCAGCTGTGTCCTCCTCTCTGATCCTCCTTCCCTCCCCGGTCACCGAACATCACGGAGCATCACCGGGTGGGTGAGAAGTGACAGACTCCTGTCGGCTCTGAAATGCCACGACTGTGTAAATGCCTGCAGGGGCATGGATGTCAGCCCTTTGGGCAAGGGGTGGGAGAAGATACTTTTTGCTTTTCAGAGAAAGGTATTAAAACTGCTTCCTGTCACTCCTTTAGCCGAAGCAGACAACTTCTCACTAGTTACTTCACAGGGAAGAACTGACAGTGTTTGTTGAAGTGTCAAACCTCACCAACATCTTTACCTTGGAGGGCTGAGACCTTTTTCATGTTCTTTTCAACATGAAAACTCCCTTTAATAAAATAATACATAAATTTAAAAAAATAAGATGCTATGGTAACCACTTCGGTCTGAATAACACATCTGTTTTTGGAGAAAGAATGAAAATCAGAAAAGGAAATATGCAGAAATGTAGTCATTTTTCTCCTCCCTCCAGGAGAGAAATCTGGCCTCTATTTTGAGCCAAGTATTTGAAGATGGCCTACTTAGAAGCAGAGTCGGACGAGTTTATCACAGGAGAATGAGACTCAGAGGAAGGACAGCCTCTGACAGGGCCAGGCCCTAAAAGAAAGGGCTTCCTGTCCTTTGAAAAGAACAACTAAGGAGAATTATCTTGATGATGTAAAGACGCTGATTTCTAATGAATGTGTGTCAACTGATTTCCCATTTTACAGGAAGTGATACAACATTTCTTGGAGAAATAGGGGGGAAGAAATGATTTCTTTCTCCTCCTTGGGCAATTTAATTTTATTCTTACTCTGCAACAGAGGGCTTTTTTTTTTTTTTTTTTTTTTTTTTGCTTCTAAACACATTCAGGCTCAGTTCAATCCATCTCTCTTTCTCCATTCACCTCCAGTGGATGAAAATGTCAAATACAGGCGATTGTCTCTTGCCTGCCAGGAAAGTTAACAGGCTGACCTGGTGGCAAAATGTCACCTTCACCCTCACAGTTCAAGAGGTCAGGGGAGCCAAGGTGGGTCTGAGTGCTGTGCACTGTCAGCAAGGAGTAAAGGGAGTGACTCATTCTTCCTTCACACTTTACCCGTTGCCATTTCCCTGGCAACTAAGTTTTTTTTCAGAAAATGGTGCGTTGGAGAGGAAATACAGGAGAGAAAAGAGGTGAGAAGGAGGGAAAACATGAGCCCCGTGTTTTCTATCACTTCATCCCGTGCACGGCACACGGTCACAAGGTCCCTCCATGATCCCCCTCCTATGACTCTCCTGGCACAAAGATGATTCAGATAAATGAATGATTCGACGGGTTTCTTTTATTTAAGAAAAAATCTCTAAAACAAAGGCCCAGGAGAGAGGTGAGTGACAGGAGGGAGATCAGAACAGCGCTCAGGAAGAATATCACGTATCCTTGGCTCATGGATCTTACAGGGCCACTGTGACTGTCTGCACGATGAGTGAGTGGGTGGAAGAGTTCATAAACTAGCAGCAAAGTACTAAGTAAAACGTGTGAGTGCTGAACGAATGCAGCTGCTTTATGAATTCTCAGATTGAATGACATCACCCTAAAACAGATGAGGTGGTTCATAACATAAACACCATTTCTGTATCGCCTTGAGAAGGAAGTTGTCTGGTACATATTTGGGTTTATAAACACAAAGGGGCACTCGTAACTGCAGCTCTTCCAGCTCATCTCAGAGACTTGTGGACCTTTCCATCCCTTCACCCCCTCATCAGTCTCCTCATTTCATAGATGAGCAAGTAGAGGCCCAGAAGCTTACGGGATTTGTCTAATCACCCAGGGTTAAGAAATGACTGAGCAAGAATCAGAGTCTGGGTCTTTCAGCTTCTAATCCAGGGCTCTTCCCACTGCATGATACTACGATTTACAAAAAAACAAAACAAAAAACAAAAAAAACCACACCCAAAGCCAAAAAACAAAAACCCAAATTCCTCCAGTTTTTGGGGGCTCTGAAACCCCGAAGTTGCTACCCCAGCTCCATCAAGAGCTAACTCTACTGGTTTCCTGGGCTCTAGCACAGAGAATAGGACGCTTCAGAAGACGAAAGAAATCAGCACCTATAAGATCCACATCTCCCATGAGCCTGGGGATGGAGGACAGAAAAAGCCTCTGCTCACAGTGGTAAGAAGGATCCCCGAGGCAACAGGCAAAATGGTCTGATGTGAACAAATGAAACGTGTTGTGTTTTTATTTTTTTTTTTAATTGTTTTCACCCTCCCATTTCCAAGTTGTGTTTTTAAACCTGTGAAAATAGCAAAGCAACTTTTATTTTACTCAGTCGGGTGTTAGCTCAGCTGTAAGAACTGTATACCTTCTCTCATATTTCAGTTTTGTTAGACCAAAATGAGTCAATTTACATTTTTCTTCTTGCTCATCTCTCCTGATGGCCCTCTCCACATCAGCTTCAGTCATTTCCAGAGCCAAGACTTTCCCTATATTGAATGATTCTCATGGTTCAGAAGAACAATCCAAGCTTTCTTTCGTGTTCTAATTAGGACCTCTGCATAAATAAAGCTCAAAAGCTATATCCGTAATGTTTTAAAATAATGCCCACTGTGCCTCACCTCCAGGGGAGGTTACTACATGCCCCCATCATTTCTCACCAAGGAGAAGGAAGATGATGAGGGGGAAGGGATCTCTTTCAACTGGAATGCACCCATCGTTTATTCTTTTTAAAGTGTTTTTATTTTTAAAATCAACTTATTTATGTTTAATTGAGGTAATATTTGGATCCTCCCCTCAGCACTGGCACTGTGGTGCACCCACCACCAACCAATTCCTCCATAGTCCACCACCGCAGTTCACTGTGCTGACACAATTTATTCTTAAAGAGACTAAAAGGATACAAAAAATTTTCAGCTAATCAAAATGTAATAAAGAAGCAAAAATACCAAGCTAGATAATTTTGAAATATACGGGTTCTTTCAATCTAGCTCTATTATCCAAATAAAATGTCAGCCTGTAAAAAAAAATTATTTAGACCAGAATAAAATGAACCAGATTTTAAAACCATGCAGGCATTCAATGTCTATATGAAAAAAGAAAACTATTAAAAATAATAAACATAACAGGGCTAAAGTAAGAAATCAACAGCAGCAAGGAGCTTTGAAAAAACAGGCTGACAATTTTCTAAAATATTATTGGTGTTGAGAGAGATCTATTTTTGTGTGATAACTATTTTTGTTCAATATCACTGACTTTCAATTTATAGCAAAACTGATACATTCGATTCAGCTGCCTACTTCACAAATACAAATCTATTTTAAATCTCATGGTCACATTTATAGAAACATCTGGGAGAGTTCAGCAAAATATCTGCCATTCCACAGCCCAACACTTTAATGGACATAATTATTTCTTAGCCATCTCGTTCTGCTGTATTTTTTTTGACAACGTGAAAACCAGTTGGATAAAAATTAACTCCAGTAAGACAAATGATTGCACCAAAACCCCTGTTATTTAAATCCATGTTTTCCCAAGCACTTTCTCTTAGAGCCAATTCTCAATCAAATTCAAAAAATAGGGCAATATATTTTAGAGTATGACAAAAGTTTGAGCATGCTAACGGAACCAACTTGTAAAATATAATTACAAAAGATTACAGAAATGCTATCTTGAACATCTTAGTGGTGCAAATTGCATAAACTCCTATCATGCAACATATGTCATTCAGAATAAAGAGGAAGGAACAGCATTTTTAACATCAACTCCATTTAGGAAATTGGATACCAAACACTCCCATCTTCAGTAGTTAAGTCTTTAGTTAAAATATTTTATTCCTTTGGCTCTAGTTACCAAAATGAATCATGAAGAATAAAAGTGTACAAACAGAAGACCAAGCACCTTATTTTAACAGGTTAAATTAGGCAGGGTCTGTGTAATAATAAGCCACCTATGTTATCTCATTCAAACTATCTGCTAACAACAGCAGGAAAAGGGTTGTATTCTTACCAATGAATTTCTGAGGCATTGAGCTTTTTCGTTTTGCCACATTGCTTGCTAATCTGTCCAGAACGAGAGCTCTTTCACTTCCCATCTCTGCCTTGATGTGTCTTGCCTCCGCACTTGCTGGTTTGGAAAAATGTGAAAAAGAAGAGGGAAAAGAACACGTTGGTCAATGTGGAGAAAAGGAAATAGGCTGGGAGGAGCAGGGTCAGAAGTCCGACGCACACTGCTGTTACCTATGTGTGCAGCTGGGATTCCTGCCCGGGGTACCTGCTGTGGCCGGTGAAGCCAGCACCGGGGCACATTCAAATCTTGCAGTCTTATGCTGAGCTGGGAAAGCCCGACACATCCCCAGCCAGTACCTTCATTAGCAAGAGGAAGTATTAAATAAACAGCTTGGACGTGGTTGGTTGCAAAAAGATAGATAGATGGAGATCTTCTAACCTCTGATCAGCCTTTCTGATTCTGAGTAACTGCGTGTGACACCTGCAGACTGATATAATTCTTCTTAACAACTTTGAAAAAAAGTATGGTGCCCCAGATTTACTGCTGTTTATGTTAATAGCACTTTTGAAAATAGATACACTTACCCAGATAGCAAGAAATCAACTCGGTGATTTGTGTATTGAAATTCTGAGTGGGTTTTTTTTTTTTTTCTTTCTTTTTTCCAGGCTGCTCCTTTCAGTTCCTATCTTTCAAATTCTATTTCCCTGGGCTTTGCATTATCTGTTTCATATGCTCTTCACATCTCAAAATTGTCTCAGTTAAAATTTCCCTGAGCAACACTTCTGTCTTGAAATTAAAGACCAATTTGTATGATGCCTTCTTATTATATTTCTATTGAAAAATGTGAATAAACTGCCTAAGAATATGGTCTAATTGTCATTCCATGAGTAGACCCTCAAGTGGTGTAGGCCCATGGTTCTCAGATCTGCTTGAACATTAGAATCAGCTGAAGAGCATCTAAGAGACACCTGTGCCCAGGCCCCCCTTCAGAGGAATTGAAAGGGGATCTCTGATGTAAGGGTCTAGCAACAGTATTTTTAAAGCCCTCCAGATGATTTTTACAATATAATAAAAATTGAGAACCACTAGAAGCCTACATAAATAGTGCCAACATCTAGTCAACTAAAATAGGAAGTTAGAATAAATATAATTTATCCTGGCATAGTAGGCACTACCCTATAAGAGTTCATGCCTAAAGTTCAAAGACAAGCCTAAATATAAAGCTTTAAACTTTAACACATGATGCTAGCCCAAATTAGGGATCAGCAAAACTTTTTGTAAAGGGCCAGATTGTAAATATTTTAAACTTTGTGGGACACATATAGTCTCTCTTCCAAATTCTTTGTCCGTCCTCCTCCCTGCCCAACACCTTTTAAAAAATGTAAAAATAGGGCCTCCCCGGTGGCACAGCAGTTGAGCGCTGGGTTGCGAAGCTGCCCGCAACCTCTGCAGCGCCAGTTCGATCCCCGGCTGCTCCCCGACCACCAGAGGAGGGTCCCACATGGCGTGCAGACCTCTCCTGCTGCCGGCTGCTCCCCTCAGCAGTGTACTTCGGTCCTTCTGCCTGCTCTGCTCCCCGCCCTGGCTCTGGTGAATTCTCTCACCCTCCCGCGCTTCTGACTGTACCCAGTGCCTATATAAATAATAAATAAATCTTTAAAAAAAATGTAAATATAGGGGCCTCCCTGATGGCGTAAAGGGTTGAGATGCAGCACTGTGAAGCTATCTGCAGCCACTGTAGCATGAGTTCGATCTCCGGCCAGGTTGCTGACCCACATGGCACAGCAGACCTCTTCTGTCTTGCCCGCTGCTCCCCTCAGCAGTGTATTTCAGTCAATCTGCCTGTTCTGCTCCCCACTCTGTCTCTGGTGAATCCTCTCAATGCCCCCACCCTGTACCTCTGGCCTGCACCCCAGCTCTTGAATGCATAAATAATCTTTGAAAAAAAATTTAAAAATTTGAAAATAAAAACGCTGTTGCAAACAGGCCACTGGTCAGAGTCTGCTTGCCCCTGATCTCAGCAAACATACTGTGATGCTACAAACATTTCTATTTTATCATAAGCATTTCAGGAAGTCCAAACTAAAACAAAGGAGCCATATATTGCTAATGTTTCCAAGAAATTGAAATGTGTTTAAGGGGCTGGAGTGAAAAGCAAGCAATCATTGCAAAATGGAGTCCCCTCCCCTCCCCCCAACTCTATACACAGCTTTGGGAATTGTCAGTACTCATTCTATAGTTGGAGAGTTTGCTGTGGGAAGAGATTCTAATATATAGAAATAATATCACAAATTCTATGGGCTCTCAGACATTCAGACCATAAATGGACATGCCCAGAGGAAGAGGAGTGGCTGCCGCTGCAATAAATAAAAGACGGAAAAATCTCCAGGGCAGGACTGTCAGGGACAGCCGAGGCGAGTGAACCTAAGACAAATCAGAAGAGAATTCGAAGTATTTTACTTTATTATTGCCGTGTTCTTGTTTCTTTAAAACTCCATGCTAGTCACCACACAATAAACGATTTTGGGTATAAACAAGTTTGGGTATTTTGAACTCAGTTGTAAAATGAAATCTGGCTCCAAAAATGAAGAAGAGAAGAAGATGCTGACAATGACCATATTGCTAAGACTTTGTGAGTTTCTTGTCAAAACAATTCTATGCTCTAAAGAAACAAATTCCAGCCCTGAGTTTAAGCTACTAGTGACACTACTCGTGTAAACAAAAACAATAAGGATCAGGATAGGGGCCTGGGCAACTTTGGGGTTAGTGGTAAAACACAGCATCTCGGGCTGACCAGCAGCTATACACAGCTGGCACGGCAGGGACAGGACACTGGAAGTGAACTGGGTCAAATTCTGGCCAGCCCGGGAATGGGTTTAAATGACCAAACAGGAAACTATTATATATATTATTTCCTTTCGCACAAACCACCACCAGATGTGGCACTACCCAGGGCCCCAGGAGCAGAGAGATGAAAGACCCAGCCTGGGATTTGAAATATGTTGTAAGGAGGCTTTTTCTTAGAAGCATCAGGAGGCAGCTAAAGTCTGTGCTCTTTGACTAGGATACTGTGGTTCTGGCAAGTCTGACAGGAGTAAATGCAGATAAGGCTTTCCCTCCCCCTGTACTTATTATTTAAAAGATCTAAAGTGAAATGAGAATGAAAAACAGCACTTTGGGATTTTTAAATTCTATCTGCATTTTACCACCATTCTTATCAGTGTCCTTGCAGTCACTCCTCCAATCACCCGAAGACCCGGAGATAATGACCATTCCGTGCCAGGACTCACCCTGCATTCTGCTGCCAGTCAGGTTCTCCAATTTGTCGCCCAGAAGTGACTGTCTACATCCTACCAAAGTCAGTATCACTTAACACAGCAGCCTTTTCCGGGTACATGCTCAATGTCCTCTCTGTTTGGGAGGATGTGAGATCGGGGATACATTGACCTAAATAATGTAACGAGGGCATGCCACTAAATGGCAACCTCCAGAGATAACATCACCTTTTATCCCTGGTTACTCACCAAGCTTGTCTTGACAGTCATTTCTAGATAAATCTTATTCTGTAAATCAGTGACAAAGTGCCCGATACTTAAAAAGATAAATCCTGGAGTTTATGGATAGACAGATAATTTGAGGCATGGGTAGAGACTTGCCCATTTCCACAACTCTGGTTAGACTGAAAGAAATCCTCTGAAACTAATCTGGATGGTGCCCACCCACCCTCACCTGCTCCCTGGATCATTCACTCAAAACACCAGCTCCAAGACCCCACCTTCCCTGTACATGTGGACACACCCTGGAGATCGAGTTCATCTTTACTGGGTTAACTTTCCTAATTGGCATGTCAGGCAAAGGCTAATGTTTCAAACTGAATGTGATGCACTCTCAGCTGTTTTTCCAAACGGCTAGTCTTTGCCTTGTTGGACACTACTATACAATACCACTACCTGAGCACCCTTAAACACACAGACTTGCTTTGGAGTCAGACAATATCTTTGGGATTTTAAGAAGTCTAGGAGGTATAATGGGGGGGGGGTGTGTGGAAAGGACTATTGGCTTTTGGTCCTCTGCCTTAAATTTGAGACCAACTGTCTATTTATACCGTCTAGACGTGCTATCTTACCACATCGTGTCTCAGAAATGTAAGTGGAGGGAAACCAGTTTGGCAAGATAGTAAGGGAACAAGATAATGGGTTTAAATGACGAAATAGGAAATCCGTTCCTGGGTGGTGTTTGGCAGTTTAATGTTGCAAGGGGTGGGTGTGGGGAATATGGGATGGTGGCAAGGAGCAATTTGCACACTTGGTTCAGGAGTGAACTCAGAAGGAGTAGGGCTGTATTGGATCAATTTGATTTGCTACTTGTGCACGGGATCTACTAATTTTCACTAGCAAGATGATTTTAAAGATGTGTTGGAAAAAATAAATACTAAAACTAATATGAAGTCATAATTACAGAATAGGTCACTGCCTTTAATCTCTGCCCAACTCTTAATAGTCTGTCTGGGTTTTAGTCAAGTGTTTCCATGACGCAATTTCTATCTCAAAGTGATTGCAGATTTAACTATGTAATTTGTTGAGTTTTTGTTTGTGTTCAAAATCCTTCATTAGGTCTTGAGATGTTAAATGGAGCTCAAATAAGAGACATTGCTTCCTGTCTCTTCTGCGGTGTGGTCAGTCAGTAGCTAATGGAGAGTGGAACAAAGGGGTGTTATTATGCAATATGAATTGTCTAACAAGAGATTGTTATCAAAGATAGGCAGGTTCTGACGAAAACGTTATATAAAAGTGTTGCCTTTTTAAGCCAGTAGAATGAAGATTACCTGTAAGACAGTACTGGTTTTCAAAAGGAATAATCAGTTGGGGAAATAAATTTCTAAAACATTTTTAACTTTTTCTCTGGTCTGTTACTTAGTAAAAATAGATGTTTACTTGTAAATTCTCAGGCTTCTATTAGCTCAACTGAAACAATGCAAACAAAGATAAAAGACTTTGACTCAGATTCATAAATAGATACAATTATTCAATTACTTAAAAAATCTTGTTTTGCTAGAACTCATTGTCATACAAAAATATGTATCACTTCAAGTATTCATAATTTGTGTGAAGTGAGGCTAAATGAATGTCTATACCAGCTGTTAGTTCCTTTCTGGAATAAGTATTAAGCTAATGAGAAAATGAAATCTGTAATTTTCTATATTCATTCTTTCACATGTATTCCATTAACAGCAGAATCGGTGTATCTTGATGATGTCACTCGTGATGTGTAGACTGCACATGTGTCTCTATTAGACCTTAATAGATCAAGTGATCATTTCTTTGCCGGATGGTGAGTTTCTCAAGGGTAGGGGCTTAACCTTCACTCATCTTTACAAACAGCTCTCACACAGAGCCTGGTACACAAAGAATTCAACAAATGCTATTTGAATGAAATAAGATAATTAGTAAGTCTAGAAGTTCTGTTGCCCAACAAGAATGTTCTCTGCATTCTTTTGCAGAGGGGTCTTGAGTACAAGACTTTTTCATTTGTTCTGCTTCCATGGAAGCCTGGCTTCTCCATGAGGGCAGGTTTCCCAAGGCCTGGCCCTTGCACTGGGGTGCAGTACAACTTCTAATACGCACTGGCTGTGCAAATGCCACATCCATAGTAGCAACAGGGCATCATCACTTTAAAAACTGGCAATGAAGGGGAAGGATGTCCCAAGGTAGTATAATATTGGTGGGACCTAGATTGAAACACTATGTCCAGATTGGCAATGTCCCAATTTAAGAAGGAAGCAGACATGGAAACCAGACAGGAAGCAGAGGCAATAATGAAAGGATTGGTTTGTGTTAGATTAAACATTTTTTATATTCTGGATTTCAGGAAGAATCATGGCAACTATTTGAAATATGAAAGAGAATAATATATTGACTGACATTGAGTATTTATTATACTTGATTAAGCTGTGACTTTATACACTTTGTAACCTGAAACCACCATTACAACATATTTGTGTTTTTTTTAAAGAAAAACTTGCTGACTTAGTTAACCCTTTATTTTTTTTTGCTGAGACTTAAAGTGTGTTGCACGCATCCATGAAACCACCCTATGAAATGCAAATTAACTCAACCTCTGTCTTTCAGCACTTCCTGAACCACCTTTACCACGGGCGATAGTTAAAATATTTTTTTGCTACTTTCCAAAATTGAAATTCCTAAAAAAGGTTATGGTGATGGGAAGTAAGGTGGTAACCTTACTTCAAACTAAAAAACTTTGAACTTACTGTTTAGAGTGATTTCTCTCCCTCCTTCCAAGAGAACCCAAATTCACACATGCATCTGTGTGTATCTACCAGGATGTATTTCACTGTATTTCTCTTGCCAGCCAGATCAAATTTTTAAAATACAGCTAATCAAGCTATATTTTCCAAAAGTGAAAAATACCCAAATGTCCATCAACTGGTGATTGGATAAATACAATGTGGTAAACCCAAATAATGGCATATTATTCAGTTATTTAAAAGGAATAAAATGCTGATACATGCTATCGTGTGGATGAACCCTGCAAACATTAACCTAGGTGAAAGAAGCCAGACTTATGTGAAATGTCTACAACAGGTGAATCCACAGAGAAAGAAAGTAGATTAGTGGTCGCTGTGGGCTAGAGAGATGGGGGAGGGGGAGGGACTGTTGATGGGTACAGGGATTCTTTTGGGGGTGATGAAAACATTATGGAACTAGATAATGTTAATGGTTATATAACTTTGTGACTATATTACAACCTACCAAATTGTACCTAAAAAAAAAAGTGACTGCCTTTTCACATAACGGTAAGTCAAAAAAATTAATTATTGAAAATAGAATAATATATAGTTAATCATGAAAACAACACAAGTTCATGTGATTTTAAAGTAAATCACTGAATTTTTGAAGAGTCTCAATTTTCACACCTCTAAAATAAGGAGGTAGGATTAGATGATTTTTCTTTAAGCCTTCTAGTTTTAAATATTAAGGATTCTATTTGGAATAGAACAGATTTTCACAAGTTGGGAATTTTTTAGAGTAAGTGCTTTGTCTCGTTTCTGAAATATGGACTGCAAGTCAAGAAACCCAAGAACTGCCTGACTAACCTCCAGCATTTTGCTTAAGATGTCAAAGCCCAAGCTGTGTGTGTGTGTGTGTGTGTGTGTGTGTATGTGTGTGTGTGTGTGTGTTTTGAAAGAGAGTAAACATTTCTTTTTAGAAATAAGGAGGAAATCCAACTCCTTGATAAAACCAAAGATGTCATCAGGATAAAAAGCAGAAGCAGTGCAAACCAACGGAATTCAGTTGGCCAGCTCCTAGCACCATAAAATAGGCTTTATCTAAAACAAAAGTCTCCTTTCACTCAAGACCGGTACAGTTAAAGCAGTCATGCTTTCCACTCCATTCTTCCTGAGTTTCTCCTTATTTCTGTCATATTTTTGTAATTATTCTGCTACATAATGTTCAAAAGACTCAATTGCAACTACTGTGTCAAACCCCAGCTCCCCAAAGGATTTGTACCTACTCTAAAGCAACAACCAGTTCAAGTAGCCAATCAACATGCCAGAAATGCAAGCTTAGAACCAGGCTAATGGTCAAATGGGTGGGACAAAGGACAAGTGCAGAGAGCAACAAAAACAAAGTCAGGCTGTTTCAACCAAAGAATGAAAAGAAAATAGAATCACAATATGATATATGGAAAGACACCTCGTTCAATCAATCGCCACTAAGTGTAACCCAAAACACTGAATAAAATATGAAGTTACCAAAGCCAAATGAAAGCATCACAATGAATCATGTGAACAGACAAGTATATGATTTGGGCATTTTGCAAAGAAAACTCTTATACGGTAAGTTTTCAACTAACATGTTGATAGGTTCTTGAAAACTGAGACTTTAAGAAAAATTCATTCATTCATTTTCCAACCTGCTTATGCCAGTTCAGAGTCATGGGTGGCAGGAACCTATCCCAGCTACTCAGGGCATGAGGCAGGACCCAAGTGTGGACAAGATGTCCTTCCATCACAGGGCACCCTTGCACCCACATATTCCGGCTGGCGTAAGTGAGACACACCAATGAACCTAATATGCCCATCTTTAGGGCATAGGAAGAAAAGTACTTAGAGAAAACCCAGGCTGGTATGGGGAAGACATGCAAACTGCATACAGACAGAGGCCTACCCAGGAACTGATGTTTTCTCATCAGCTTCACAACAAAACGACCTGAATGAAACCACGTCATTGGAGAACCTGCTCAATTCTGCCCTGCCCACCTCTCCACCTGCTATCTTTGCCACTTCAGTTAAAGTCAACTGCATTCTTCATCACACCCTACATCAGTCTGCTAGGAAATCACATTGGCTCTACCTTTAAAATATATATATAGGGCCTCCCCAGTGGCGCAGCAGTTGAGCGCTGGGCTGTGAAGCTACCCGCAGCCTCTGCAGCGCCAGTTCGATCTCTGGCCACCGGCAAGGGTTCCGCATGATGCGCAGACCTCTCCTGCCGCGCCTGCTGCTCCCTTGCAGTGTACTTCGTAGGTCTGCCTGATCTGCTCCCCGCTTTGACTCTGGTGAATTCTCTCACCCTCCCGCGCTTCTGACTGTACCCAGTGCTTGTATAAATAAATCTTAAAAAAAAAATATATATATATATATATATATATATATATATATATATATATAATCAGGCCACTTCTCACCACCTACCTAGGCTACCAGGACACATCTTTCTCTTGCTAGAATTATTGCAATGGCCTCCTAATCAGACTCTCCAATTTCCAATCTTGCCCCAAATACAATATATTCTCAATAGCAAGTAGAGGAATTTTCTCCCTATGAGAAGTTCGAACATGTACCTCATGTTCAAAACCCTAATGATTTTTAATTTTACTCTGAGTGAAGGTCAAAGTCTTTACCAGGGCCTACAAAGTCAGATAAGATCTGTTTTCCCATTGCTATTTTGGCATCGTGTCCCATTACCCTGCTCCAGTCCCAAAGACTATTTCTACTTCTTCAGACTCAAGCCCCAGGGCCTTTGCACTTGCCCTTTCTTAGTTATCTCTGGGGCTCTTTTCTTATCCCTTTCAATCCTTTCTTATCCCTTTCAAAGTTAAAATGTCACCTGGCTGAAGTCTTCGCTGACTCAGCTCAGTTCCCAGTATCTGCTTCATTTTTCTCAACAGCGCTCAGTATAACATACTAAGTTACTTACTTTGTGGTCTGTCTTTTCCCATTAAAATATAAATGCCACAAGGGCAGGATTTCTTGTCTTTGTTTGCAGCTCTGCCCCACCACCAGGACGCCTGCTCACTACAGATACAGGGGAGGAGCGTGGCATGGACTCACCAGTCTCACCCAGGTCAGAGCTCTGAAGGTAGGTGCGGCAGCGCTCCTTGTGCTCCTCCAGGGAACTTCTCTGCTTGTAACTCCTTCCGCAAAACTCACATTTATAGGGTTTCTCAACTATAAGGAGAGCACAAGGGACACTCGGTGACCCTCGGGGGTTACAGCACACAGGTGTCCGCACTCGGTGAAAACTGTCCACAAGGAATGCGAAGGCTGAGAGGAGCCAGAGAATTCAGGTACTTTTCCATCCCCATTACTTTGCAGTTTAGTAAAATGAGAAAAGGGTATATGGCCCATAGTTGAGGACCTCGGGAGAGTGTTCTTCCAAAAGGACAGCCTTCTTTCACAAACGAAAGGGTTTGGATTTAGCGATTATCACTGAGCATAGCTTTGAGCTCCAGATCCACTTTGTTTTTTTTTTTTTGGGAAAAGAGAGGCCCTTTTTATTCTTCAAGGAGGTAAATTGTGGTTTAAGAAGGAAATCGGCAGAAATCCCTTATTTTGTGACATCCACCAGGCTCTAAGTGAAGAGCGCTGCAGTTTGTGGGAGTAAGCCATTTAACTAGAAGCGATGGCCTTTGTAGACGTCTGATTGACATGTTTGGATAAATTTGGCTTACATTTCCAAGTGGCTATAGCAAAATCTGGGCTAAAGCAATAAAAACTGATCTAATTGTGAATATTTTTGAGTAACAGAAATAAAGATGAATTGCAAAAATGATTTCATCTTAATATCTAAGATAAATCTCCTCAATAGTTCATCCCTACAATTCAGGCTGTCTTTATCCTCCCAACTCCTCCAAATGCTTTTTTTCTTAAAATATGTAAGTGATAACATCAACCCTGTGAGCAGGGCTGGTCTTTCTGATGTGTTGATGAAATGTGCCCTATGAACTTGCCAGAGTTTTAGGGACTGAGATTTTTATTTTCCAATCCTCTTGCTCTGTTTGAAACAGAACCTTTGGGGCTTCAAGCACTAAAAGATGCTTGTGGAATCCCAAATTAAGAAATGGAGGTTTCCTAAGGCCAAATCTGTTAGATGTACGTCTGAGTTGGGGTCTTCTAGAATCTGTCTTAAAATAACTACTGCTGTTGGATCCTACTTGAAAAAGGCAACAAAAGTGAACTATTTTAATTTAGCCTTTAGTCACGACTCTGAACAGTGAACTAAAACCTTTCTTTGCCACTTAGGACTCTCATGGTGGGTTTTGTTGGGACTTGTGTAATGCTTAGTCCCTCAATTTTCACCTGTTATAGGGTTTAGAGTTGGGTTTTAGTCAAAACGGTGAATGTGGATTGACATTAAAAACAACCTTTTTTTTTCCCCTTCAATTAAAATTTTGTCAGATAACATCAAGAACACAAAGTCCCAAATTTGAAAGTAAACTGTCTTATTTTTCTAGGAGGGAAATTATGTTTTTTTAAAAATTATCATCTTGCTTGGTCAAAAAAAGGAGGTGAAAACATCAAGACATAGATTTTATGATTTTTTTTTAATGCTGCTATATTTCAGAGAATAGGCGTATTGAGAGGAAAGTTGGGTTTAAGTAATTTAGCCTGAATTGGCCCAACTCCCCATCCCAGGAAGACCCAACGTAACCCTAAATAATGTTTCATACCTAGTTTACAGTTTTAGATAATTTACAAACTGCACATCATTTGCTTATCCAGACTTTGTCATGGAAAATGTACACGTGTATGTGTGTTTTTTAAGGAAAATAATCTTTTAATAAAGTTTACCCTAAGAAAATACTGATGGCTGTGGGGTTTTTTGGGCAAAAATTAAACAGACATTTTTATAGGGCAGGCTCTTCCTGTCTGACTGTGTTGTTCTCTAGGGGAGCAAGGATGGTGAGGAGATGATCATCCTTATTGAGCCAGACGGAGAGCAATTAATGCCTTAATGGAAGTGTAATTAGCCCTAGAGGTCTCTGCTGTTGTAACCCTTCAGAACAGGAATGACAGATTAAAACCCTCGTGCTTAACTCTTTGCAGTTTCTGCAGTGGGCTCTGGGGGACACACATTTACTAGACATGGAATGTTCCTTGCTCTCACTTACCAGAATGTGTCCTAAGATGACCTGTGAGTGCATCTCTTCTCTGGCATGCGTAGCTGCAGAGGTGACACTTAAAAGGTTTTTCCCCTGTGTGCAGTTTAATGTGGCGGAGGAGGTTACCTTTCTGAGTAAAAGATGCCCCACACTGATTACACTGGAATGGGCGTTCACCTTTAAAAAGGACAAAAAGGAGATGTCTGATCACCCGACATGCAGAGAGGCATATGCACAGATTAGACGCCTATGGCAAAGCTCATCTTTTAGACAGTCTCTGTTCACAGGGGGATCAGGTGGGAGCTGTAGATCAAGGCAAGCCTGAGACTCACTCCCTCTGCAAGAGCAAAAGCACCGGAGCACGGCTGTGCTAGGTATCATCTTGTCTTGAAGAGTAGCTTTAGATGTGCTTTCTACACGTAAATTCCTACGTTACTTAGCCTTCCTTTTGAATATAATCTCAATCTGAAAAGAGTCTCAGACCCAAGTCCAAATAAAGTATTGAGAGCCAAAAATGTTTTTCAGTCTTCACATCAGATATCAGATGGAATCTACTAGGCTCAGTTGTCATTTGTCTGCATTTCCATCGACTGCCTGCTTATCTTCTGAAGATAGTTTTTTAAAAACTGGACATACAAATGAAATCTTTTCATCTATCAAATCTGAAGCCAATACAATAAGATTACTTATTAAAAATGTTTTTTAAAGTAATATATGAAATTTACCTAAGAAGCAAATCACGGAATGCAACTTACACATATTAACAAAAAGAAGCATTTGCCTGACCAAGAACACCATGCCCTCTAAGTCTTTTTGTTCACAGCATTTGCGGTAGGTTTGCCAAATGCACAGTGGAGTAGAAATTTTAAAGAATCACTGGGTAAATGGGAATGCAGAGAGGGAGAGATACATCAGAATTATAGCCGAAATCTATGAAAGTAATCAAAAGTCGTCCCAAATTCTACCACTTCGTTTCACACATGACTGCACTAGGACAGATTCCCGAAGAAGGGATAAAGGGGGCTATTTACCAGTATGGCTCCGCTTATGAACCATTAAGACATTGAAGCTAATGCAGGATAATCCACACACATCGCAGTTCATCTTTCCGCTGGTTGGCCTGCTACTATCATATGAGACAACATGTCTCTCCAGCTTAATGTTTTCATATTCATTATATTCTCTTGAATAGCTGTAAGGAATGTCAGGCTCTTCTGCATTTCCCATGGGCTCTGGCTTTAAAACATTTTCATCCCTTTCATTGTATTCATCTTTCACTTTCATTGAATTATCTGCAGGGAGGAAAATGCAAGAAATGAACAATGATTGTGTTTGGAGCTATCAAAGCAGCAAAGAGCAGAGACCCACAACTGACAATTAAGTACCAAATGAGGCTAACATAACATTGAACATCTACAACACAAAAATGACTAGGATGATCACTCATTATTTGAATTCAGAACCACAGTCAGGGGAAAACACACACGAATAGATTAGAGCATTTTAGGCCATCCAGAAATTTAGATAACAGATTTTAGCTATGACTGCTCAAAGCAACCATGAAGAAAAACATTTTGAGCAACTCTTCTCCAGCTCTGGGAGAGAAGAAAGTTTCTCATATCTAGTACCTTTTTTTTTTTTTGGTGGCTGCAGTTAAAAGGCAAGATGATGTGATGTGCTCTTTGGTTTCAAGGAGAAAATACTGTCTTAATCCTTCCAATGCATCCAATTTATGCTAGCAAGGTTGAAAGTTGAGTAGTTAATACGGTTTTTCTGATTTTAAGTGGTGCTCTGCCTCTTCCTCTTCCATGTATTTGAACTGCTGAGTCTTATCTCCCTATCTCTTTTGGAACTGATAAAGAGACAACACTAAATGGAGAGGAAGCTGGCAATACTAGTGAAATACTGTTGAGAAAGATAAAAGGAGAAGTAATTCTTCAACATAACCTTCCAAGGAGTTTCTTTCATGCAGCTCCACCTGAGCTAGGGGAGAGAGCACCTACACCCCAGCTAGGGAGGGTGAAACTCTTGGGGCTTCGGTCTCCTAGAAGCACAGGACTTAGGAGAGGAGGGCTGGCCCACGAGAGGAGATTGACCAGCCAACAGTCTCAAGCTGAAGAACGTGAGCAAAGGAGAAGGCACATTTATGTACTGACACTAATAAAACCTAAATATTGGCCAGATGTAGTAACAACAAACACATCTAAGGAGGTTTCCATATATAATATGTCCTGCCTACCTGCTTTCTCAAACCTTGGTTCTTAGAAATTGGAAGCCGTGCCTCCCCATCAGGAATCACAAATCAGTGGAATTTTAGAGTTGTACGTGAATTCAGAGATCACCTAATCCAACCCTCTTGTTCTGGTAAGGAAATCCCGGAAACAGATAATTTGGTGATTAGTCCAATGTTACAGCCCATTAGCGTGATCAGAACATTGAACTTGCATTTGATTGACCTCACACACCAGACACGTGAAGTCTCAGAGGCTTCTTACTAACATGTTCCACACTCCCTCCCCCATCATGGTGTCGACGTTAAAAATCAAAACACTCTGAAGAAAAGATATTTTAAAAAACGACACCCCTTCCAAAAAACACAAGTGAGTGCAGCTCCTGTTCCCACATAGGAGGAAGTACAACTGCAGCTGTGTCTGGCTTGCTACCTTCATCTCCAGTTTCAATTTTCACTTCTATCAAGATTACCTTTCATCTATATTAACTGTGTTTGCTTAACAGAGCAAGACAGGGCCTAACCACCAAAGAGGGGTCATTGCTGCAGTTTGTCCCCAGCTTCTCACCAGGGTTCATGGTTCAGAACCTTTCACTCCTTGATTAGAAAAGACAGGGCTGTAGGACGAGGCCCAGGTGCCCATCCCATGCATCTGAGATATACGTAAATAGCAACCCATTTCCTACTTGGAAAGAGTTTCATTCCCTTTTTTTCTCCGGACTGGTCTGGCCTGTTTTCAGATAGAATTTGTTTGCTTAAGTGATTTTTGTTTCTTTAATCTTTTTTTTTTCTTAAGTGAAGGATGCACCTGAGGCTTGTCCCCTCCTCCCTCCCTCCATCACTCCAGCTGTGGGTGATATCCCACCAAAGCTTGAGTGCTCTTCAGTTTGCATGTAGGCGTTTAAAAGAACCTCAACGGAAAACTTCAGCTGCTGAAAACCAAAAACAGCAGATAGAAAGGGCCAGCAAAAAAGGATCCTTTTCATTTGGGTTATAAAATGTTAATATGAACAGATCTGGGCCATTCTGTGGTCAGCAACAATTAAAACTTAGTAAGATCAATGTGTTGGGTTTTTCTGAAAACACAGGACACAAGGGAGCTGTTTCTGCTTTCAGGCTTTTGGCTTTGATGGGCCTCACCTAGAACTCAAGCCCACACTGACCTGGCGCAGGGTAAATCGTTGGCTTTATTCCTTTAGGACTTAACCACAGAACAAGGAACACCGTGTTGGAGATCCAAGGTCTTAAGGGAAAGCATAACTGTCACAAGAAAAAGGTGTTAGGGAAGTTCCTAAGTTACTGAACCAAAAGAGTTCCTGGCATAGCTATTGTTTTGCCTTTGAGCCTCACCAGTGTTTAATAAAAGGTCTCTTTTTTTTTAATATTTATTTTATTTATACAAGAACCAGGGTACAGGCCAGATGTGCGCAGGGTTGAGAGGATACACCAGAGACAGAGTGGGGAACAGAACAGTCAGACTGACTGAAATACACTGCTGAGGGGAGCAGCGGGCGAGGCAGGAGAGGTCTGCCACACCATGTGGGTTGCTCCGCGGCCGGCGGGGATTGAACTGGCACTGCAGAGGCTGCGGACAGCTTCACAGCGCAGCCTTCAACCCGCTGCGCCACCAGGGAGGCCCAGGGAGGTCATCTTGGCGTGATGACTGAAGATCAACAACTCCTTATGGCTTACCAAGTGAAAGGAAACAGAGTTGACAACTAGGACACAAGAGAATCTGAGATACAAACAAGACTCCTGAGATTATTTGGTTTAGCGCCAGCCTCCTTCCTCATACTGTTTACCAAAACCACCAGGACAGACACCGGTCGCTCTAGTGGCGAGATTCACTCCTTCCCTTGGGGGAAGACTTACTGGAGCAGAGGTAAGGGGGTCACCCTACTCTGTAGCCTCGGAAAATAACTCAACATGTCTAAAATCAGTCTTGTTATCTCTGCCCCCACACTTGCCTCTGATTTATTATTTCTTTCTACTTATCAAAGGCACCTTCCTCCTTGGACTCTCTAGGTGCCAACTCTCTTTTCCATTCCCTATGCATTTAGTTTGGCCTCTCAGCTCACCAAACACACGCTCTCTCAACATTCCTTTCTAGACTTCCTACAAAAGGAATCTATGCTTACTGCCTCTACATTCTCCAAACTGCTATAAAATCCTCTAAACTGGGCCCTCTGGCTTCTGCTTCTGTAAGTCACTGAATCTACTCCTCTGGAGGGCATAAAAAATCTCCCAATTTCTAAATCAAGTGGCCATTTCATGCCAGTTTTCCCAACTTCTCTGTAGCCCTTGACACAACTGACCACCATTCCTTGTCCTTCTAGATTCCAAGTTCTTCAATAAAACTGTATTTTATCCCTTCCCTTTTGCATTGCTTCTAACTCCTTTTCCTCCCTCTGCTTCCTAAATATTGTCCTTAACCCTCTTTTATTCTTCTTTCCTCTTCACCTCCTCCCCTATGGCAATTTTGTCCACTCTTAAAGCTTCAACCTGGATTTTTTATGATTAGTCCCTATATACATGTATCTCAGGTAATCTCTTCTTCAGTCTCCTGCTCCCAAAGGCCTGCTAGGTATCTTCTCACTTACTCAGGCTAGACTTTTCACAGTGCATCTTTCCTTCCTCTTACTTGTGCCATGCATTTAATCTCCACTGGCTCTATTTCCAGGCCCCCATCTCCAATCTGTTTCTCCTCCCCACTGTTTTGCACACCTATTGATATTATTCTAATTCCCAGACCCTGACCAGCCTCCCTCCCCATGTTTTCCTGCCATAGCCACCCCACTGTCCCCATCTCTCTCTTCTTCTCACCTCGTCCCGTATGCTAGAGTTCTTCATGAACTCTAGCTCTGGCCTATCATAGCCCTGTCGAAATCCTTAAACATTCTCTACTACCCACAAAATTAAGTCTAAACTCAGAACCAAGAATTTAAAAGGCCTTTCAGCAACTGGCCTCAATATTTGTAATGCTGGTTTTGACTACTCAGATATCTTTTAAACAACAAATATTCTAAGCATTCTGGCTTTTATTATTTCCATAAGCTAAAATGCTTTTTGTTGTCTTGTTTGTTTGTTGTTTTAACTTAGCATCCCTCATGACCCTCTTAGCTTGTATCTGTAAGACCAGAGATTGCATGGTTTAAAAAAAGAAATTATGGGATTCTCACCATAGATCTACTCATCTGAGAATGGGGATAGAAAAATGCATTAGAAACATGCTCTCTAGTAAATCTTATGCACAGCAGAGTTACAGAACTGCAAGCTTGACACAGAGCTTCGCATAAAGTACATATCCAGTGTATGAGTACACCACTGCATTAGCTCCTAGCTAGCCTAAGTTCATGACCACTATTTTATATCTTATTGTCAGATGAATCATCTTGTTCAGAAATTTTCAATGATTTCATTGAACTTTCATAAAGTCCAGACTCCATACTGAGGTATACAAGGGCCTTTCCAGAACCTACCCCAAGGCTGCCTGGTAGTCTCATTTCTCACTAATCTCCTTGAATCATCCTTCTCTCGAGACTAGAACCTTGCCACTGAAAGCGAGGTCCTTGTATCAGCAGTTCCAGTATCCCCTGGATATTCACTAGAAATGTAGGTTCTCAGGACTCACCCAGATCTACTGGATTAGAATTTGCATTTTAACAAGACCTCAAGAATTCTAATGCATGTTAAAGTTTGAGAAGCACGGCAGCAAACCTCTAATGGGTTTTCCAAACCTCTTCTCTAGTCTTTCCCACATCTAAAATACCCTTCCCCCATATCAACATTCTATTTAAACTTCTAGCTGCCGCTAAATGCCATTTTTTTCCATGCAGTCTTCCTTGATACCCTAGATACTCTAACTAGAAAACAATTCTGTTTCTGTGCTCTCATATTTACCTCATTCTACTTTCTATTTAGTATGATGTCATTAATTTCTACCTTCCTAGGGTTGATATGTTCATAAAATGTTACATATAAAACCAAAAATGTTGTCCCACTGATTTATATTATACATTCAGAGATGCTGATCTTCATTTTTCACTGATTTTCAGTTGTCAG